TATAAAGATAGGTTAGGTTAGGTTAGGTAGGGTTGGTTAGGTTCGGTCATATATCTACGTTAATTTTAACTCAAATAAAAAAAAAATGACCTCATACATAATGAAATGGGTAGCTTTATCATTTCATAAGAAAAAAAATTAGAGAAAATCTATTAATTCAGGAAAACTTGGCTTATTAGGCAAATCGGGCCTTGCATAGTAGGCTGAGAAGTGAGTTCTGGCTACTAGGTACGACATATATATATATGTGTGTATATCACGAAAATAAACACGTGATTAAGAATGTGACAATGTCAGACCACGAAGGAAAATGAAACAGGAAATTTCCTTAAGTACTTTCGTATATTAAATACATCTTCAGAAGGTCAACCTAGTAGCCACCTTCTGAAGATGTATTTAATATACGAAAGTACTTAAGGAAATTTCCTGTTTCATTTTCCTTCGTGGTCTGACATTGTTATATATATATATATATATATATATATATATATATATATATATATATATATATATATATATATATATATATATATATATATATATATATATATGTCGTACCTAGTAGCCAGAACTCACTTCTCAGCCTACTATGCGAGGCCCGATTTGCCTAATAAGCCAAGTTTTACTGAATTAATATATTTTCTCTAATTTTTTTCTTATGAAATGATAAAGCTACCCATTTCATTATGTATGAGGTCAATTTGTTTTTATTAGAGTTAAAATTAACGTAGATATATGACCGAACCTAACCAACCCTACCTAACCTAACCTAACTTATCTTTATAGGTTAGGTTAGGTTAGGTAGCCGAAAACGTTAGGTTAGGTTAGGTTAGGTAGGTTAGGTTGTCGAAAAAACATTAATTCATGAAAACTAGGCTTATTAGGCAAATCAGGCCTTGCATAGTAGGCTCAGAAGTGAGTTCTGGCTACTAGGTACGACATATATATATATATATATATATATATATATATATATATATATATATATATATATATATATATATATATATATATATATATATATATATATATATATATATATATATATATATATATATATATATATATATATATATATATATATATATATATATATATATATATATATATAAATGCAAAGTGAACAAGACCATTGTCGCAATCAATGCAAAGAAAGGTAGTGTTCATTTCACTAAACTCCAGGGCGATTATGGCTTAGGATATGCGTATGGCAATGTTAAGACACACAAATCAGGTAACCCACAACACCCAATAGTCAACCAAATACCAACTCCCACCTATCACCTGGCAAAAAGACTTAACGAACTCCTAACTCCATACTCTCCAAGTAACTATAGTCTACAATCATCAGCAGATTTCCTAGAATTAATCAAACCTAAACAGCCCGATGGAATCATTGCTTCCCTGGACGTCGAATCCCTATTTACCAACGCCCCAGTCGACACTACCATAGAAATGATACTGGACTGAGTATACAGAGACGAGAGCACCCTCAAATTAGACATTCGCGAGCCCACACTTGAAGAGCCTTCTCGAGGCATGTACAAAGGAAGCTCCTTTCATCAGTCCGCAAGGGAACATGTATCTACAAATAGAAGGAGTAGCAATGGTCTTCCCCATAGGAGTGTTATTCGCTAATTTTTACATGGGAACCATCGAATATAGAGTCTTCAGTAGCAGACAAAATCCAACCATATATTGCCGTTGTGTACATGACATATTAGTCATAGTAAAAGACTCAGATGAACTATTTGATCTAAAAAGTCATTTAGAGAGAGAGTCAGCACTCCGATTTACACATGAAAATGGTAGAAAAAACAGACTGCCATTCTTGGATGTACTAATAACAAAAATAGGAACCACTTTAAGCACCAGCGTATATACTAAACCTACCAACATAGGATAATGCCTGAACGGTAAGAGTGAGTGCCCCTAAAGATACAAAACCAGTGTTCTCAATGCTTATATTCGTCGAGCGCTTACACACTGCTCTGAATGGAGCAACGTGAGTAGAGAGTTTGAAAGAATAACTTAGGCACTGGTGAACAATGGATATAGCAACACGGAAATAAACACCGCTTTAAAAAGACACCTGGACCGATGGTACAATATATATATATATATATATATATATATATATATATATATATATATATATATATATATATATATATATATATATATATATATATATATTGAATGTGACAGATAGGGTGATCTCAATAACTGTAGTATGAATCTTCTGACACTAAGAGATGCGTTTCATTAGCTCCAATTAACATTATGAAAGGAAGAGTTCAATTGGTAACAAAGGGATTGATTGATGAAAATAAAGCCACTCAAGAGGTGTCACGGGCATGAATAGCCCGTAAGTGGTAGATTTTTTGGAGTGAATGTGATCTTTGGTCGTGAAAGGATATACTGTGTGCTGAGCTCGCATTTAAATTGTAAGTCCATACTAAGTGACTACTATCGCAGGTATACTGCTTGACAGTGTTTATGAGGATTTCCAGCTGCCGGACACGATTACAAAGTTGTTGTTGTTGTTTTAGATTCAGTAACTGGGAACAAAAGGTTACAAGCAACACAGGCTATAGTGAGCCCATAGTTGACTTACCTGGCACAGGAGTAGGGCTGTAACTGGGTTACAAAGTTTTCTACTGCCGGATACATAGCTCGGGATAAGATGAAGTATGAGCCAATTTCCATGTAGCACGGGCTATGGTGAACCTGCAAGTGGAGGCTCTTTGGAGCCATTATCTATATCTGTATCAATATCTATATCAATAGCTGATACTGGAGATCTGGGGATGTTGTCCGTGGATCCGTATCCACGGACCCCCATCCACGGACCACGGACCATAATCCAATCCAAGACCATAAGGCTGGTCAGACCATTGAATTGATGGGGGACACACGTTGCTCACAGGCTGGCAACAGTCGTCCGATCTAGGGGAGATGTCCGGGTGTTACAAGAGGATTGGTTTTCTTATCCCAGTTCCCCAAAGTTGGTAGTCTGATCGAATTTCCTTCTTCAAGGTGTTATAGTCGCAGAGGTGGTCGAGGCGTTTGAGGGACGACATTGTGAAGGATTTGTCGTGCTTCCCTGCACTTGTATTCCCAGTAGTCGTTGGGGGATTAAGGAGGTATGCTGTCTGTCCTCCTTGGATAGTGCACGGCCACGTCAGATATACCCGGAGAAGGCAGCATTGAAACCTGTCAATCTGGTTGGTACCGGTCCGGTATCTGGAGGGGGAAGATTGTACTGTTTCGGCCGCATGATGGGCAGGAGAGCCGGTGACATTGACTGAATCATGGGAGTTGGTTGAGTAATCGTGGTTGACTTCCTTGGTTTGTCTTCGGAGTTGGTCGAATCTCCAGAGTCGGCCTTGTCGTCCTAATCAGCTGTTCTGGGGGCTGCTGCCGTCCCTGCCAGTGGGACAAGCTCGAGAACTGCGGAGTCGTTGTGGCCAGACGGTTAGGGCTCCCTGGGGGTCGGCTCAGGGATTCCCGGGGCGTAGGATCCGGTGGCAGTTGTGGAAGCTGGATGAAGGTCATCGGGTACAGCATCTGTCGGAAGTCCATTCGGGACAAGCAGCCAGTTGATGCCATGGATGTAGCGGGTAATGTCGTTGCCCGCCATTTTGCCGGCGAGGTGAAGGAGGCTACCTTATCAAGGGTAAATGAGTGATCTTGGAGGCTGCAAGCCAAGCCCGTGGTGGTGGTGTGGCTGGCTGGGTGCGGCTTCCCAGGGGTTCTCCCTCACCACCGGGTGGTGGTGAGGGAGTCACATGTGTGTGTTCCCAGAGAAAACCGGGAATTCCGTCGGGAGTTGGTTTGCTGGTCTAGGTATGGTGGTAGAGGAAGTGGTAGTTATCATTTTTTTTATTTCCTCCTGCCGGAGGAGACAGTCAGGTGAGAACACAGAGTGTGTGCCATTGCAGAGCAGGCAGAATCAGTGGGAGGATGTGCAGTCTGTGTAATGGTGCTCCTGTGCGCAGAAGCTGTATCTCTGCGCTCGCTCGGTGCACTTCCTGGTGTAATGGGACTACTGGTAACACTTGAAGTACTGCCGGAGCTCAGTGAAGCGTTCCCTTGGTCACTTGGGTGGGTTGTATGGCTGATTCCTGCGCACTTAAGTCCGTAGTCCGTGGCATGGGACGCTGCAATGGCCATGGTGAAACTCACCTTCAGTTTTGGTCTGCAGTTAACTTCGGCATTGAAGAGGGTCTTGACCGCTGCCGCTGTCAGCGTCAGGTTCTGTTCGTTACTGCTGGCGAGGATGTCGTCGATGTCTCGGTCGGTGATCGATGAGTTGATATTCCTGGCGAACACACTTCTATCCTCCAGGTAGCGTCGTGGTGGCGTGATGGTGATGCCAGTGTCTTGCCAGGTGGTCGTAGCGGTGTTGGTGAATATCTTCTCAATGTTCGAATCTCTGAAGAAGAGCAGGTGAACACCCTCTCTTGCCTCCATGATGTCGGCGGGTGAGACGTTGTCGGAGATTTGTGATAAAATCTCAGAGGTGGAGCGAACGAGGTTCTCCCGGAGGCGAAACATGACCCTATGCAACATGGTGCAGGTGAGCCCTGGACCATAGGAGCTTGGGTGTGCAGGAAAGATGAATGTTTGGAGTGAATGTGATATGGAGATGTCTGTATCACACCATTAGTTGTATATGTTAGTAAGAGGTGTTTCAATCTTCCATCAAATGCAAGAGAATAACTGAGCCAATAGGTCCATTGTATCTTATCACTCTCCTGTGTTGGCTGGGGCAGTATGATGTATGTTCCATCGTGTTTTTGAAATTGGTTGAGTTTTATTTGGTGCTAGCTGGTTGTTGACAGATGGCTTAGTTTACATAATGTATAATGCGTCATTATTACATTACTGTACATTATGTAATGTACTTTGTACATTACATAATGTACAAAGCCAACTGAACTGATAATTACTGATAACTACTATATTACTGTACTGATAATTACTTGGCAAGTTACCTTGAGTGCAGGTGCTGCGTCGCTTGGCCTCCAGTATGTCGTTGAGAGTGGCAGCCAGCCTCACTACAGACTCCTGGTTCTTCTGTACAATTTGGGTGATGTCAGCGAGTGTGTGCAGCTGATCCTGGTCGCCCCTTGCTGCTGCTACGAGGCCCAGAGCCACAGCGTTCACCAGGATCCCCACCACGCACGCAGCAGCTGTCTGAACACAACAGGATACAGCTAAGTATCTTATACGTACAGACCTAAATAAGTTAATAAAGATTTTGCTGTAAAATATTCCAATAACTATAGGCCTAAGACATTCACTAATACCAGGTACATCTGAAGTTCTTTATAGTAATAGGTCTGGCCTTAGCAATTTGGTGGTCTGGTGGGGGGGGGAGAATGAATCAATAAGATATATATATATATATATATATATATATATATATATATATATATATATATATATATATATATATATATATATATATATATATATATATATATATATCTACATTTGAGTGAGGTGGATGGGGTGAGGTGGTATTTAATAAGGTATTAATTTCATCAACACAAGCCAGAACATGAAACAATGGGTATTGAATAGAAGTGATTGTAAAATCAATCACTTCAATTCAATACCCATTGTTTGATGTTCTGGCTTGTGTTGATGAAATTAATATATATATATATATATATATATATATATATATATATATATATATATATATATATATATATATATATATATATATATATATATATATATATATATATATATATATATGTCGTACCTAGTAGCCAGAACGCACTTCTCAGCCTACTATGCAAGGCCCGATTTGCCTAATAAGCCAAGTTTTCATGAAATAATTATTTTTCGACTACCTAACCTACCTAACCTAACCTAACCTAACTTTTTCGGCTACCTAACCTAACCTAACCTATAGAGATAGGTTAGGTTAGGTTAGGTAGGGTTGGTTAGGTTCGGTCATATATCTACGTTAATTTTAACTCCAATAAAAAAAAGTGACCTCATACATAATGAAATGGGAAGCTTTATCATTTCATAAGAAAAAAGTTTGAGAAAATATATTAATTCATGAAAACTTGGCTTATTATATATATATATATATATATATATATATATATATATATATATATATATATATATATATATATATATATATATATATATATATATATATATATATATATATATATATATATATATATATATATATATATATATATATATATATATATATATATATATATACATATATATATATATATATATATATATATATATATATATATATATGGTGGACGACAGATATATATATATATATATATATATATATATATATATATATATATATATATATATATATATATATATATATATATATGGTGGACGACAGATATATATATATATATATATATATATATATATATATATATATGGTGGACGACAGATATATATATATATATATATATATATATATATATATATATATATATATATATATATATATATATATATATATATATATATATATATATATATATATATATATATATATATATGCGAACAAGCCTGAATGGTCCCCAGGACAATATGCAACTGAAAACTCACACCCCAGAAGTGACTCGAACCCATACTCCCAGAAGCAACGCAACTGGTATGTACAAGACGCCTTAATCCACTTGACCGTCACGACCGAACATAATGAGGTGATAGCCGAGGCTATTTGAACCACCCCACCGCCGGCACTCGGATAGTAATCTTGGGCATAGCATTTTACCAAATCACCTCATTCTTTGGGGCACACGTGAGGAACACAAATGCGAACAAGCCTGAATGGTCCCCAGGACAATATGCAACTGAAAACTCACACCCCAGAAGTGACTCGAACCCATACTCCCAGGAGCAACGCAACTGGTATGTACAAGACGCCTTAATCCACTTGACCGTCACGACCGAACATAATGAGGTGATAGCCGAGGCTATTTGAACCACCCCACCGCCGGCACTCGGATAGTAATCTTGGGCATAGCATTTTACCAAATCACCTCATTCTTTGGGGCACACGTGAGGAACACAAATGCGAACAAGCCTGAATGGTCCCCAGGACAATATGCAACTGAAAACTCACACCCCAGAAGTGACTCGAACCCATACTCCCAGGAGCAACGCAACTGGAATGTACAAGACGCCTTAATCCACTTGACCATCACGACCGGACATAATGGGGTGATAGCCGAGGCTATTTGAACCACCCCACCGCCGGCACTTGGATAGTAATCTTGGGCATAGCATTTTACCAAATCACCTCATTCTTTGGGGCACACGTGAGGAACACAAATGCGAACAAGCCTGAATGGTCCCCAAACAATGTTCCATTCCCCTGAATGGAACATTGTATGAAAATTTCAAAGCAATCGGTCAAGAACTTTCGGAGATTAGCGATTTTTCAAGGAAAGCATTTTTTTTCTTGCAGGAATTTCCTGCGCGGGCCTTAAGCCTCTGGCTGGCCCACTAAGTTTCGCTTGTTTCTGTTTTACTTGGGCGGAGTATGAGTATTTATGACTCGTAAGGTCTCTGCAGTAAGATTTTGCCATATGTGTTTAACAACTTCTTCTGCTGTGTTGAATCTAAGTTGAAATCTTAATGGGTTTGTAACTGTGAACTGTGTTAGATAATATCCAGTGGTCTGTCGGGCATTTCTCCACAGTGAAGGAAAGCATAGTTTTACCTGTGACAGGTGTGGCATCTATACTTATACTTACGAAATGAACGGTATGGTAAACATCACAGTTTAATTCCAACTTAATTCCTGATAATTCAATATCACACCAAATAATTCACTAAAAAATATAATGATTCGAAATCTATGAAAATAAAATTTGTCAATGCAATCAGAAACATTGAAATGGAATTCGTGATATATTTAGTATAGCATGCATGTTGCCATTATGTGCAACAGATGGTGCTGTTTGTAAAAAAAAACGCCTGGTTTTACCTGTCACGGGGGTGGCATCTATATAATAAATATATAAAAAGACGCGTCTATTCGAATGCAAAGTTGTGTCAAAATTTCAAAGCAATCGGTGAAGAACTTTCGAACATTACAGCATGTGTTGCTCTTACGTCCAACAGATGGCTCTGTTTTTAAAAAAAGCATGTGTTTTTCCTGTCACAGGTATATAGTAGTTATATAAAAGGATGCACCTATTCGAATGCAACGGTGTGTCAAAATTTCAAAGCAATCGGTAAAGAGGTTTCGAAGATTTCCCACACATGAAAAACACAGTTTTTCAGAAAAAGCATGTTTTATTTACCGTCACAGACGTGACATCTATGTAGTACGTATATAAAAACTTGGCCAGATGCGAATGGAACATTGTATGAAAATTTCAAAGCAATCGGTCAAGAACTTTCGGAGATTAGCGATTTTGAACAAACGAACATTTCAATTTTTATTTATATAAATATACTAGTTGTACCTGGCCATGCGTTGCTGTGGCTCAGCAACGCATGTGCGTTGCTGAGCCACAGCAACCTTCCCTGTCCCCCAGTCCTTCCCACCATTCCCCCCCCCTTACTCTGTCCCCTAGTGCTCCCAACCGTTCCTCACTCCCTTGTCCCCTCGTCCTCCCAACTATTCCCCACTCCCCTGTCCCCTCGTCCTCCCCACCATTTCCCTCTTTCTCATCCCTTTGTATTCCCCACCATCCCCCACTCCAGCATCCCCTCGTGCTTCTAAGCATCTCCCACTTCCTCGTATCTTCGTCGTCCCTTCCATTCACCCCTCCCCCCATCCCTTCGTCCTCCCCACCATCCCCCCACTCACCTGTCCCCTTGTCCTCTCCACCATTACCCCCTTCTATGTTCCCTCGTCTGTCCCGCCATCCCCCACTTTTGTGCCCCTCGTCAACGAAATGAAAAAAATTAGAAATTTAAAAATTAGACTATACTCACGAAATGAACGGTATAGTAAACAACACAGTTTAATTCCAATGCAGTGTCACACAAAATAATTAAATCGAAATGAAAATAAATCAAAATCTTAGACAATTCAATGTGTCACTGCAATAAGAAACATTGAAATGGAATCGTAACCTATTTAGTATAGCAACATTTTTGATGCAAGGATCAAGCAGTTGTATTTGACGTAAGAGTTGCTCTTACGTGCAACAGATGGTGCTGTTTCTTAAAAAAGGAATGTTTTTACATGTCACAGGTGTGGCATCTATACTTAAACTTACGAAATGAATAGTATGGTAAATAACACAGCTCAATTCCAACGCAATATCACACAATATATTTAGATCTAAATTAAAATAAATCAAAATTTATGAAAATTCAATTTATCAATGAAATCGGAAACATTGAAATGGAATCGTAACATATTTAGTTTAGAATGTGTTGGTCATTTATGCAAAAGATTGCGCTGTTTTTCAAAAACACATGTTTTTACCTGTCACAGGGGTGGGATCTATATAGTACGTATATAAAAAGATAAGTATTCGAATGCAACGTTGTGTCAAAATTTCAAAGCACTCGGTAAAGATGTTTCGAAAATTTCCATCACATGAAAAACAATGAAAAACACAGTTTTTCAGATAAAGCATGTTTATTACCGTCACACATGTGACATCTATATAGTATGTATATAAGAACCTGCTTGAATGCGAATGGAACGCTGTGTCAAAATTTCAAAGCAATTGGTGCAGAACTTTCGGCTATTAGCTATTTTGAACAAACGAACATGTAAAAATGTCGTCAACATACCTGCAGTATATGGCCGGTTTCAAGTTCATGTTGACTAAGACCTTTTGTTCGATGGACATGAAATAAGACAAGTTCATGTCTTAGTCGACATGAACTTGAAACCGGTCATATACTGCAGGTATGTTGACGACATTTTTACACAGGTACCTGATGTCAGACATCTGCAGGATCTGAAGGAGGCATTTGAGAGGAATTCTGTGTTGCGTTTCACTTACGAGATGGAGAAGGATGGGAAGCTGCCCTTTCTAGATGTAACAGTCATGGAAAGGAGCAGAGGTTTCCACACTGCAGTCTACACTAAGGAAACAAACATAGGAATGTGCCTAAATGCCAACAGTGACTGCCCAGACAGGTACAAGAGGAGTGTTGTTAACGCTTATGTCGACCGTGCTCTCAGCCACAGCTCAGGATGGAAGCAAGTC